TGTGTGTGTGTGTGTGTGTAAGTGAAGAAGTTTTAAGTTTTCATGCACACATACACATATATTAATGTTTTGTATGTGCTACTTTTTGTATTTTGTAATTTTTTAAACAATATTTTATTTATTGGTTAATTGATTCTTTGATTGATTGACTGGTTGAATGATTATTTTTTAAATTATTTTAAATTTCAATTAATTAATGAATTTTATTTATTTTTTACTCAAACATGCTGACAATAAAAAGTATCTTCTTTCCTTTTTTAAAAAATGTATTTATTTTAATTTATTCAATTGAATTAATTTGTTAATTTGTTTATTTCTTCCTGCCTGATTGTTTTTTTTTTACCACTAACGGTTTTTCCAAGGGTTGAAAAATCTTATTTTTATTTTTATTTATTGTACCACTATTATCTAATAATATCATATATGAACAGTCAAATGTTTTATTTGGTTATTTGATCATTTTATTACTTTATTTAAAAAATAAATTGTAATGATGTGCTGGAAGATTTGCTCCAACTTGGTTCTAAATAAAATTTTAAATTAATAAAATAAAATAAAACCCTGCAGTTGAGACTCATCAGCAGTAACAGGAAGTACAGTCGTCATGGTACCTGTCTCCCCCCACAGACTGTCAGCTGTGTTGATCTCAGGTCTCTCCTCCTCTTCCTCGTCTTCCTCTGGGAGATCCAGGAGGTACGACAACAGCTCTGATTGGCCCATGCTGGCGGCTGCGGTCAGCGCCTGCTGCAGCGCCTGACGCCTGCTCGCCTCCCTCTGGCCGCAGCAGGAAGTGCAGCTCCAGTCCGCACGCTTCAGCAGGAAGCTCAGCACGTCGAGGTGACCGCACTGAGCGGCGTGCACCAACACACAGCGACCTGAGCTGTCCACGTGTCCCACCTGAGAGCAGACAGAGAGACAGACACTCAGAGACACCTCGAAAAAAATCTGAATCTGTAATCTGTAATTATTCTGACAGATATTAAAACCATGATTTAATATCTGTCATTTTCTCTATAAACAATAAAAATAATGATGATGTGATTTCTGCTGAGTCTGTACCAAACAAACATGATCCCTCACATCTGGAACAGGACTTGTAGCATCTCTGTAGCCCCACAGTGCTTATTATTTATTATGATGTGATGTGAGACATTTTAGATTTATCAAAAAACTGCAGCAGTTACAAGTCTTGTAATTTTGAGGAGTCAATGACAAAATAAAACTGTCAATAAAACAGGTTATTAAACTGCTGTGAATCACTGCAACCACCTGAGACCTTTAAGCACACAGTCATTAATGTGCACACAAAATCTGAGGCTGATTGCTCCAGTAGATTGTGAGATTAGCTGCGAAAAGAAAGGAAAGACAACTGTTGGAGACAGCGTTGTTCCTGCTATGACCACTGGGTGGCACCATAGTAAACATTTATATAATTCAGTGACTTCAGAACTAGCAGCAGACACAGGGTCTGAATGAACACCCACCAAATATGACCACGATGGTTGTTTAAAACAGGAAAGCTTCTCTTTTTTGTTTTGTTTTCCTTTGTCGAGCGTTTGTCGTGACTTCCTTTTTGTTTCACTGCAGCAGTTTGATTAATTAGAGGTTAAAATTCCAAAACATCTCAACATCATTTCTACACTGACGGATTTTAAAAATTCTATTTAAAACTTTAATCAAGTTGCAAACCCCAAAATATTCTTGCTCAACAGGTCCCCTGGTTCCTCTGTGATCATTTGGATAATTAAATATTAAAGTCAGACATGTGCGTATAAGTTGATCAGTAAAAATATACATCATCAATATAAACTGAGCTCTGTCCTTTTGGCCACGGTCGGTGGATTATTTAATCTACCAGTCTCTTTGGCCGGTGAGTCGTTAAGTTAATTTCTGACTCTGGGTCGGCGGCTACCTTTGCTCTGTGCTGACTCAACATGGTGACGATGTCCAGATGTCCGGCTGCAGCAGCGAATCCCAGCGCAGTCAGACCATCATGTGACTGAGCGTCCACCTGAAACAGCGACACAGACGCAGACACACGTTTGCTTCCTTTAAATTATCTGAAAAAAATCAAATCATCTCAAACATTACAAACATGTTTTTTTTTAACCTGAGCTCCGAGGTCGAGCAGCAGCGCCACAGCGTCTCTGTGTCCCAGGTGAGCGTGGACGCACAGCAGGGGGGCGTTGTTCAGGACGTCACTCCGCACATCCACATCAGCCCCGCCCATAATCAGCAGCCTGCTCACCTGGACAGGTGGGGAGACGGTTACAGTCCAGCTGTGTGAGCAGGTGTGTGTGGATGAGTGTGTGTGACGTGTGTTACCTTGATGTTGGGGGTGTACAGGTTCCTCAGCGACGACAGAGCAGGACTCAGACTCTCTGTGCTGTAGGACAACCACAGCCCCTGCAGGACTGACGAGGAGACCCCGAGCTTCTTACTCAGACCCTGAAGACGAGGACAGATGCAACGACACAAACTGTTAGACGGACGTTGATATGAACGCTGACGAGGAATCAAACAACTGGATTTTAATGTCTTTATCATTCAGGGACTATTCAGCGTCTTCCTCTTCTCGATCCACGTTATGATCACGTCTCACGACATCGAGTGAAATCTTAACGGCCTGAAAATCCACGATGATGAGTCGCATGTACCAAGAGTTACACAGCTCAGCAGTAAACAGCTGTTTTTAAAAGCTGTCGACTCGATGAGTCCTTCAAACAGGTGGCCCCGCTGTATGCAGATACACATCCCTACCCACCGAGTCAAGGTGTGTGTGTGTGTGTGTGTGTGTGT